ATCCACTCACCTCAGCCTCCCAAAGGCGCGGGATTACAGGCTGAGCCACCGAGCCCAGTTGGGGCTGTTGTTTTTGAAGCCCATTCATACACATCATCTCACTAGATCCTCACAGCGTATCTACAAGGCTGGCCAGTTAGTATTCATATCTTATCATCTCGTTTTACTTTATTTTGTTAATTTATTTTTTGAGTCAGGATCGCGCTCTGTGGCCCAGGCTGGAGTAATAGTGGCCTGATCACGGCTCATTGCAGGCTTGACCTCCTAGGTTCAGATGATCCTTCCACCTCAGCCTCCTGAGTAGCTGGGACTACAGGCACATACCACCACACTCAGCTAATTTTTTGTTGTTGTTGAAATGAGTTCAGTCGCCCAGACTGAACTCACACTCCTAGGCTCAAGCAATCCTCCTGCCTCAGACTTCTGAAGTACTAGGACTACAGGTGTGAGCACCCGGGCCTGGCCCATCATCTCATTTTAGAGATGAGAAAATGGAGGAACAGAGAGGTTACACCGAAGGGTCTAGAACCAGGACAAGAGCGAAGAGGCCAACTGTCACACAGGCTGGGCCTGCTGAGGGCTCTGGGCCTGGTTGAAAGAAAGGGATGCAGAGACATTTGAAGGAGGGACTTCCAGGACTGAATAAGTCACTGGAAAAGGAAATGTCTGGGCTCTCCAATATGGAGATGAGAAGGTAGACATGGGGAAGCTGTGTGGAGGGCTGGGGTAGGCATGAGGAGAAAGAACGGAGCATGCTGGGAAATGCTGAATTGGAAACAACCAGGGGACATCCGGGGGAGCTGAGGAGAGATGGGTCCAGCGCTCAGGGGAGAGAGGCTGAGCTAAGCAAGGGCAGGTGGAGGCCGTGGGGGTAGATGACTGCTCCAGCAGAATGTGGGTGGAGAAGGGCAGGGGGTGAGGGAGGGTGAGGACAGGAAGAGGAAGTGGGAGGATAGCGAGACAGGGCAATACTCCAAGTCTCTCCCCAACCTTACCTTAGTCCTGCCACCCCAAAACACCCTCCATCACGGCCTGAGGGCCTGGAGCCTGCTGTCAGCTCTCACAGAGGAGGGAGATGAGAACCCTTCTATCCCATGCCCTTCGGTTAGGGGAAAATGACAGTAACCACAACACTGTCCGTGCTGCCATCACAGGTCATTTGAGCCTCACAAGGACCCCCTGAGATACCCAGGACAGGGAGGCTCATGGCCTTCATCTTACAGACCAAGAGATGGAGGTTTGGAGAGACAGAGTGACTTGTTCAAGCTTACTTGGCTGGAAGTGTCAGAGCCAGGACTAGAAGCCACGTTCACTGAGCCCCAGGGCTCAGTATGCAGCAATGCAAGAGGCTCAGGGTGCTGCTGTCCAGGTAGGGAGAAGAGAAAATGAGGGAGCTTCCGGCAACACAGGTGGCTGGTGTCCTCTGAAAAGGGAGACACTCCCTCCTCTCACCCTTACGTGTCTCCTTTAAGTAGGCTTAACTTAGTAATTTTCCATGCACTTTTTGGACTACTGCCACCAAAGGAGTAATGAGATGTCACATCCCTCTCTGATGCCCTGAAGCCAGACTGATGGCAGTTCAGCACTCCTTTGAAGCCTGGTGCACCAGAAAGAGTGCACCTGGGGTGTAACAGACATAGCTTCTCCACCCAGTCTAACATTCATCACTGTGCATCCTCGGGCAACTTACTTAACTTCTCAGAGCAGTTTCCTCATCTATAGAGATGGCACCAAACTCACAGTTCTCCACCTATAGAGGGCATAATAATAATGTCTTTGCCATAGTATTATGAAAAATTCAACAATAAAAAATGTACACGGACCAGGTGTGGTGGTTCATGCTTGTAATCCCAGCACTTGGGAGGCTGAGGCGAGAGGATGGCTTGGGTCCAGGTGCTTGAGACCAGCCTGGGAACATAGCAAAAACTTTAGCCAGGTGTGGTGGCACATGCATATATACCCAGCTACTCAGGAGACTGAGGTGGAAGGATCACCCAACCCCTGGAGGTTGAGGCTGCGGTGAGCTGTGATCATGCCACTGGGCAACAGAGTGAAACCTAGACTCAAAAGAAAAAAAAATGAAATGCACACAAAGCCCCAGGCACAGGCCTCAATACACACGAGGCCCCCAAAAACATTTGTTCTCTTCCCTTTCCCCCTTTGTCTAGTCAAATTCACATCCCTCAGTCCCCCTTTTCCTTAAAACTCAAAATGAGACCCGATTATAAGATCACATGAATAGAAACGCCGCATGTGAAGATACTTTCACGAATTCCTCTCCTTCCCCCTCTGAGGAATCCTAAAGCCAGCCAGCCAGCCACATCATTTGAGCATCTCTAATGGAGCAACAGCCTGGAGTGGGGACACAGGCCAAGGAATGACTGCCTGGCAAGTCCTTCTCCCGTGGCAGACCAGTGATCAACAAATATTTGGGAATGTCAGAAGGTCCAACAGTAATAAGGGCATGTTTTGGTGTGTGTACGTAAACTGCTGGGGAGACGGTTTGTGTTTCTCTCTCCTCCTCCCAGCCTCCTAGGGTTTATGATGTGACTTTCTTTTAATGATTAACAGTCCAGAGGGCAGAGACGGAAGAATCTGTTCTGGGTTGAGAGGCAAAGATCTGAGATCACATGGCTCAAGATGGACACACTAATGGGGCTGACAGGGTTTGGTAGAATCCCAGAAAGCAGCTCCAAGGGTGACAGGGAAAGGAAAGGAAAAGGAAAGGAAGCCGCTTCCTTACCTCTTGCTGCCCGAGTGAGAATCTTGACTGAAATTTGAACTGTGCTTATTAATGGAATAATTAGTCAGGTGCATGCAGATATCATCCTGGGAAGAGAGACACAAGGCTGTGGGGTTGGGCCGGAAGGGCAGGCCTCCTGCTTCCTCTCTGTGCCCTCCCATGGTCCCTGGGATGGGAAGGGATGGGAAGTCTTAGGGCTGATTCAAACTGGCAAGACGGAGGAAGTAACAAGGGGTATCCTGCAGTCTGAAGCGTAAGAAACTCCAGCTCCTCTTGAGACTGAGGAGTTCCCTGTCTGAGGACAACTTCAGGCAACCTGAGGGGCCAAGGAGTGCGGGGCATGACAGGGTAGCTCGCCCATGGCCTTTTCTCCTTGAGCACCTCTGCAGTGTGGTTTTGGATTTGCACTTAGGCAGACCTGGCCACAAGTCCCAGACTCCTCTTCCTAGCTATATGACCTTGGACAAGTCCCTTATGCTCAGAGTTTTAATCTCCTCATCCGTGAAATGGGGACAATAATCCCTCTCTCTGAGGGCTCCTGGGAGGGTTAAATGAAAGAACATATGCAACCTGGCACATAATAAGGACACAACAAAAACAGCCACATACACAATGTTTTAAGAATGTGAATTTAACTAGGATTTCTTTTTATCACGCTAAGGGGGTTGGGTGAGGCAGTATGTCCCCTTAGCTCACCAGATTGTCTGTGCAAGGGTGGGAGTAGGAGGTTGTAGCGAACCGGGCTAGTCCTTCATTGTACACAAAAATCCTGAGAGGATCACAGGCTGTCACCAGCACGTAAATCCGTAGGTCAAACTTGAACCCATCAATGATAAAGGGCTGGGAGGAGAGAACAGAAGTCAGACAAGCATCAGGGGAGAAAATCACACTTGAAAATCATTAGCTCAGCCAGGTTTGGTGGCTCAGCCTGTAATTCTGCACTTTGGGAGGCCAAGGTGAGTGAATTGCCTGAGCCCGCGGGTTCGAGACCCGCCTGGGCAACTTGGCGAGACCTCATCTCTACAATAAATCAAAAAAACTAGCCGGGCGTGGTAGCGCACTCCTGTAGTTCCAGCTACTTGGAAGGCTGAGGCGGAAGGATCGCTGGAGCCCAGAAAGTCGAGGCTGTGGTGGCTGGGAGTGGCCACTGCACTCCAGTCTGGGCCACAGAGTGAGACTCTAACTCAAAAAAAAAAAAAGAAAAAAGAAAAGAAAACCCACACGTGGCCTCTCTATGACATCTCTCCACATGGTGTAGTTTGGGTTTTCTCTGAGCATGGTGGCCCTAAAGAGAAAGGCAGCAGTACATGAGATTTTCATGATGTAACCTTGGAAACTCTAGTGTCATTTTTGTCTTGTCCTACTGGGGTAGGCGAACACAAAAGACCCATCCAGGATTGAGGAGACATAGACACCAGCACCCCATGAGAAGACTATCAAGGTGACGTTGTAAGAAAAGCACGTGGGATAGAACATATTGTTGTGACTATTCTTGAAAAATACAGTCTATCCTCTGGTCACAACAATTCACATGCCTTTTATGTGCAAAACACAGTCATCCCTCCCCCAAGACACCCAAGACTTAGTCCATTATGGTGTCAGTTTGAAGTCTAGACTCATAATTTAAATCAGGTCCAGGTGTAAATGAGGCTACTCAAGTGTAGACCTCAAGGATTTACTTTAATATGTTTTTCTTGGTCTGAAGAACTGTGAATTAAAGATATACATTTTCTGCCCCCCACATAGCAAATTAGACAATAGGGGCTAGGTATAGACTATAGACCCTTCAGTTTGTAAAGAGACAGAAAGCAGTCTGTGGTCCATAGCAATTCTGAAATCTATCTGGCATTCAATTGCCAGTTATGACTAGGCTTAATTTTTCTCTCTGGAAAGTTGTCCTGTGTGTCTCTTGG